CTTTTTTAGAGTGAAACATGTAACATGTTACCAATCCTGCAGCCTCTCTTCCCCCCCCTCCCGATCCGCTGCCTCCCCTTGACAGCAAGCCAGAGATCTTCTCTCCCACCCACCTGGCTGCGTTATTCACAGAGCTCTGTGAATGGATGAACTAGAACTACTGTCAGCCTTTGCAGCTGACAGCTCGTAGTTCTCAATGACCTACAAGGGCACTGGTGAGCACTCTAGGTGGTTTATTGATCCTTCCTGTCATTTAGTAACTTCCTGCTCTGCCTGATGATCCCAGCTGCAATTCTTTACAGACTGAAATGTAAAAAAAAAATAAATGCACATTTTTTTTTTTCTTTTACCTGCAAAAATATGTGCGTTTTTTAATTTTTATTTTTTTATTTTTTACAAAGGTGAACGTATCCTTTTAATATGTGTTTTTTCCTTTTTCTAAAGCTAATATCAGTCAAGGAACCCCCCTCCCCCTTTCCATGCTTTCCATGTAGTTAAAAGAGAATTAGAGCTTTTTTTCTCCCTATTCATGCTTACCTGGGTGGATGCAGCATCAGTCCCTCGCCGGCTCTAAGGGTGAGTACTCAGCGATCACACACGACCGCTGAGTTCTCACAGCCACTCTGAGCAGAGAGTGGGACTGTCAGTCACTGCTCTCTGCTCTGCACACCCTCCCATGCTCACTGGAGCGCTGGGCTGTGGAGGGAGAGGGGGGCGGCTGGCTCAAGCGCTCAGCGCTTCACTGAGAGGCTGAGCCAGGTGCCTCTCCAGACTCTGGAGTGGATCCCGACTTTGAAGTCGGGATCTTTCCCCAGCCTGGACCAGCTGAGTGACGTCAACCAGCAGCAGACTTCAGTCCGTTGTCAGCTGAAAACAGGTCACAGGAGTGAAGAACGAACCGCACTCCTGTGATCCAAAGGAGAAGTACAGCCAAAATTGCTTTGGCTGTACTTCTCCTTTAATATCCCAAATAGAATAACCTGACAACCTGATATATCCATTTTGGGTGGACGGACTCTGTCATACACTGATTCAGCCTAATCATTTCTAAGTGGTCATATCCATACCCTATTTACAGCTTCTTTTCTCCAGCTTTGATTAGTAAGCGTCATATGGCTGCACAGTGTGTTAGTTGTTAGCACTTCCACACTAGAGTCACAGGTTTGAATCCTAGCCACTACACTACTTTGCATGGGCTTCCTCTGGGTATTCCTCTGGCCAGTTTCTTCCCACACTGCAAAGACATGCTGGCTCGGTAATTGGCTATTGTCTAAGGGCCTGTTCACACCACAATTTCTGCATTCCGGAAGTGTTTCTGCATGCGCTGATGTGTTTTTTTTTTTTTTTTTTTTTTTTTTTTTTTTTTTTTCTTCATCTCGTTTCATGATGCCTGTGTTCCGATGCATTTCAGGTGTGTTTACATACGTTTTGGTGTGCATTTTGCCATGTTCCAAATGCATTCCATACTGAAAAATTGCAGCATGTTCTGCTTTTGTTCACTGCACTGAAATACATTGGTGTGGACTAGGGCCATTTGAATACATGTAAAACAGTGTGCATGCATTTTTGATGCCAAAAAATGCACTGGACTGCATCTGGTGTGGATCAATCCTAAAATTGGCTCAAGTATGTGTGTACACTGATCAGTCATAAAATTATGATCACCCACTGTAAACCATCAATACATGGACTCCACTAGATCCCTGAAGGTATGCTGTAGTATCTGGCACCAAGCTGTCATTTGCAGATATTTTTAAGTCTTGTGAGTTGTGAGCTGGGACCTACATGGATCTGACTTTTTTTTCAGTGCATCTCACAGAAGCTCAATGAGATTGAGATCTGGAGAATTTGGAGGCCAAGTCATCACCTCAAATTCTTTGTTGTGTTCCTCAAACCATTCTTGATCTCATAAGATCAGGCCACCTTTTTCGATTGCTCCGTGGTACAGTTCTGATGTTTGTGTGCCCATTGTAGAAGCTTTTGGCTGTGGACACAGGTCAGCATGGGCAGCATAAGCTTCATACACAACAAATTACATTGCACTGTGTGTTCTAACAACTTTCTGCCAGAACCAGCATTAACCTTTTCAGCATTTTGAGCTGCAGTACGTGCATCAGTGAGCCTTCGCCACCCATGACCCTGTTAGTGGTTCAACAGTTTTCCTTCCTTGGACCACTGCAGACCAGGAACATCCCACAAGTGCTTCAGTTTTGGAGATAATCTGACCTAGTCATCTCGTCATATCAATTTGGCCCTTACCAAAATCGTTCAAATCGCTTGTCCATTAATCTGATTTCAACACAAACTTTAAGGACAACATGTTCACTTGCTGCCTATATATCTCACCCACTTTCAAGTGCTATTGTAAAGTTTTAATCAATGTTACTTATAGTACCTGTCAGCGTGTCAATAATGTTATGGTTGATTGGTGTATGTGCATGTGTGCTAGGGAGGGCAGAGACTGATATGAATGTACAGTACTTGTAAAGCACTACGTAAATTGAGATAGATAAATATATAGATATATAAATATATAGATATATTATTATATATATTATATATATATATGTATTATATATATATATATATATATAATGGACTGTGCTCAGCAAAAATGATTACACCACAACAGATTTGTCAGAAAACCTTAACTTTCCTTTCAGAATCAACATTTTCTATGAGACACTACAAAATACTCCCAGAAATGTGGGCCATTGATTGCAGACAAGATTTTATTAATTTGCACACAGAAATAATTTATTTTTCCTAACATTATTTCAAGACCATGTTGCAAAAATGAATACACCCCAATGAAAGTCTTAGAAGCAAAGCAAAATTTTAGAGAACAAAATCCTAATTAACAAGAATTCAACTACTGGTGAGTCTAATTAATCATTAAACAGGTGTCCAGCAGACTTGTGATTATAAAAGGGAGTTCCTTAACAAAGAAAATCCCTTCCCATTTCATGCTGTCAGCAATGGCACCACATGGAAGAGAAATGTGACAAGGCCTGAGAAAGAAAATCATTTCTTTACACAAGAAATATGAAGGCTACAAAAAGATCAGCAAAGGTTTACTTATCAGTCAGAATGCTGTAGCAAAAGTGATACAAAATTTTACAAAGATGGAACTGCAACCATCTCACAGAGACATCCAGGCCGTCCACGGAAGTTAACACCTTGACAGGAGCGTCTTCTGACGAGAAGGGTTGAAAAAAATCGTCATGCAAGTTCAATGCAGTTAGCTAAAGAAGTAGAAAGCCAAACTGGGGTGATTATTTTCCGTGACACAATACGGCGTACACTGCAGAAGAATGGCAAGTGTGGTGTCATCCACAAAGGAAGCATCTCCTAAAGCCCCTGCACAAAAAAACCCGCCTAGAATTTGCCAGGGCCCATGCTGAAGAAGACTACTGGGACTCTTTACTCTGGAGTGATGAGACCAAGATAAATGTTTTTGGAATTAATGACTTCAAAGCTGTATGGCATCGCAAAGGTGACAAGTACAAAGAAAAATACATAGTGGTGGCAGGCAGTGTCCTTCTGTGGGGCTGCATAAGTGCTGCTGGTGTCGGAGAGCTGCATTTTATTGATGGTATCATGAATTCACAGATGTACTGCTTGATGTTGAAAGAGAAGATGCTAACATCACTCTGTGCCCTTGGTCGTCGTGCACTTTTTCCAACATGACAATGATCCAAAACACTCATCTACGGCCACTGTTACATTTCTGAAGAACAGGGTGAAAGTGGTTCAGTGGCCAAGTACGTCCCCTGTTCTAAAGCCAATCGAACACCTATGGGGAATTCTGAAGAGACAAGTTGAGCATCACTCTCCATCCAGCATCCAGGCTCTAAAAGAGTCGTTCTTGAATAATGGAAATAGATGTTGCAATATGTTGCCAACTTGTTCATTCGATGCCTAGAAGGCTTGGTGCTGTCCTTACAAATCATACAAAATACTAGATGTAGTAGTTTTGTTGTGGGGTGTATTCATTTTTGCATCAACTAATTTAAAACAACTGACGATTTTGTAATCTAAGTTATGTTATTAAGCAAAATTTTGGAAATGGTTCTTGTATTTGAGTTATTGATTAAAATGTTGCTTTGCAAAAGGGGGTGTACTCATTTATGCTGAGTGTATGTGTGTATATATATGTGTGTGTGTGTGTGTGTGTGTGTGTGTGTATATATATATATATATATATATATATATATATATATATGAAATTAAATGTGTTTTTAGATTTTTGTCTGAGTGTAGTACATGTATTGTGCAAGCTTTAATAGCAACCATTTACCTTGCCAAAATATAAGTACCTGTCTCCCATAGCGCATAAGTATCAAGAGTAAATTTACATAATATCAAAATGTTAGCTTTGGTGTATCTTTTCTCATTGAGTTGAGGTAAAAATAAATGTTATTGGACCATTGTTAGCTGGAAAGGGCAGCTTTCTCTTAACACTTCAACAGCAGTAAAGAGGATTCAAGTTCATCTAAACCTAAGAACATTTCAAATCTGAGAAAATGTATTATATATCAGCACAACAGTCTTTACATGTAGTAGCTGCATTAATGTTCTTTCTCCGGCTAGGAACATTTCCCCCCCCGCAAATAAAATAAAATACCTGTTGATCCTGACAGAAATCCAGTGTTCTTGTAACTTGCTGTGCACTAAGCTGAAATCTCAAATAATGTTATCGGCTTTCACCGGTTCTTTTCTGTGAACTATAAAACATCTCAATGTTATTGAGTTGAGAGGAGGTGAAGATTGTAGTCCATTCAGAAGAGCTGCTAAGAGTGACAGTGCTGCACCTCCATGGATACAGTGCAGTGAGTGTGCGTTGTTACCCTAGGACAGGACATGTGTTACAGACTGAATCAACTGGTGGGAAAAAAAAAGGGAAAGTCTAAAGAAAATGATTGCAGACCACATCCAAGGAGTGGTGCACTTTAGTATAACAACTGTTTTCTTATATGTTGTACTTCCTTTCCTTCCAGGTGATGGAAAGCGAGGAGTTCATGCTTCTCCCAGCCAACCAGCTGATTGATATCATTTCCAGTGATGAGCTGAATGTGCGCAGTGAAGAACAAGTATTTAATGCAGTCATGGCATGGGTAAAATACAGCATCCAAGAACGGAGGCCGCAGTTGCCACAGGTATGCTTTGTATGGAAAGATTGTGTCCTGATGACTGTGATAATCTGCTGAAATCTTTGTAGTTTTTATCTTTGAGTAATTTAGTAGCACATTCTCATGCTTTTTTAGTATAAAAGTTTAAATATTCTGCAATTTAATATGTATTTGCTATCTTTTGGTTCTTACCTGTAACTCTTAGAGATGGAAAGAGGGATATTTTTTTATTGCTGATGTTTACACAAAATTCATGTCCACAATCCACAAAACGGCTAGTGAATGTAAAGAGGAAAGGATCGCTGCTCCACCCTCTTCGCTACTCTTCCTTACATTCACTAGCCCTCTGGATTGGTATCAGGATAAGCAGTGCCCCAATGCTCTGGGAAACGGGGTATATATGCTTTCACCTCTACTTTGAGCAGAGCCAAACGCAATATAACTTGTTACAATCCAAGTTACCCTTCTGCAGTTCCAGAAAAAACACAGATCATCAAAACTTATGTGTACAAGACATGTTTTCTATATTTTCAGACACAGCTGTCAAAATGATTAAAAGCAGGATGTTTAAAAAAAAATGCTAATTACTTAAATACTGGTGCAAGAATGTTACCTTTCCTTTCTGCCAAGTCCTGGAATAATTAACAGTTTCACTAGTTAAATGCTTAGTGGTTCTAGAGACTGAAGGTTTTTCTTTACCTTACTGCCATCTCTGCATTCAGGTAAAAAAACCTACTGAGTGCAACTCACAACCCCCCTCCCCAGCAGGTGCCCCATATAATTACCTGAGCCCAATGTCGATCCAGCGATGTGCACAAAAGCAGCAGATCTCCCCTTCCTCATAGGCTCAGAGACAGCAGTGAGAGCCGATGTTGTCAATCACAGCCAGTGCGGAGGGTGGGGCTGAGCCGAGCCGTACTCTGTGTGTCTTGACACACAGAGTTGGCTTGGGAGCGAACATGCACGAGTGCCCCCATAGCAAGTGGCTTGCTATAGTGGGCATTCAGCGGGGGGGGAGGAGCCAGGAGAACTGGTGGGGACCCCAAAAGAGGAGGATCGGGGGCTGCACAGAGAAGGGAAGTATGACATGGGTTTACAATCACTTTAAGTAGTGATAGGAATCTACTGTATATTTTTGACCTGAAAGCATAGGTGAGGATTCGGCAAACTGAAGTATTTATTATTTAATACAGGTAGTTCTATAGTGCCGTCAATTTATGCAGAGCTAGAATTCCAAATCATTCACTGCTCTTAATTACTTTGACACATTATAAATAGTAGTTTGCTCTGGTTTATTATATGACTGAAGAATAAACTTTTGTCTCACTTTTTCTCAGGTTCTTCAACATGTCAGATTGCCTCTGCTTAGTCCCAAATTTCTGGTAGGAACAGTGGGATCTGATCCACTCATTAAAAGTGATGAAGAATGCAGGTCTGTCACACCGCAATTTTTTTTTTTTTTGGTTGATATCAGTTTGTAGACCTCTGCTTTAGACCTTTTGTGAACTCCCATGAATAAAAGGATAAGAACCACACTTTATTTGATGTTCAGTGACCTTGGTAGTAGATGGGTGCTCGCAGTGACTGTGGCGAGGTTACAAGCACTCCCTTGCAAACATATACAGTCATTTATTAGTGCAATGTCACAATAGTCAAATAAGCCTACATTTTGGGGCCACACAGGGTTCCTCAAGGTGACATAATGAACTCCTACATTCAGTGCTGGCAAAATCTTGTAATATCTATTCCACCTACCACTGATTTGCTGACAAACTTTGTAATTTTTTTTTTCTTTGAAACAGAACTGTGTGGGCATTGGGTTAATGGTAGGGTCTCCAGTTAAAGTGCAAGTGCCCCCCATCCCGCCTTAAAAGCTAGCCATACATGGATTGAAATTCAGACAGTTCAGGAGGGACTGGATACATTTCGATTTATGTGTGGCTGTCTCTCTTCAACATAAGTCAATTGTTAGAATTGACGTCTGTCTATGAATGCTGGAAAACGTTTCTTGATCATTGGCTGCAGTTGCTGATCACTGTGTTCCGCTTGTGTGGATGGAGGAATGTGTGTGTTTTTTTTTTTTTTTTTTTTTTTCCCGTTAAGCCCACTGGCTGATCAAAAAAAAAAATGTGCTCTATGTCCAGTTTAATGCTGTGCAGTCAGTACTGCTTTTTAAACAAACTATTTTTTTTTTTTAAAATCATAGGGACTTGGTAGATGAAGCCAAGAACTATCTTCTTCTGCCTCAGGAACGTCCTCTGATGCAAGGGCCCAGAACAAGGCCTCGGAAACCCATTCGTTGTGGAGAAGTGCTGTTTGCAGGTATATTTTATATTGTCAAGATTGATTTAAAGCAGTTTGTGATATTAGGTTGTTTGGTGTAACTAAATAGTCATCTGATTTTTTTTTTTTTTTTTTTTTTTAATTTATTACTTTCATATTGCAAAATGGCTACATATAAGCAGAGTAGATGCATGTTAGAAGTAAGGTTTTGTGTGACAGACATTTCCTTTAATGCATATATGACCAAATGCTCAGGTGATACACAAAGATTACACAAATCCTCCTACGTACGTTGTACCTGTTTATCCACTTAAGGTTTTACTCCCTTCATGACCAGGCTATTTTCTTGCTATTTAGCACTGCACTACTTTAACTGGCAATTGCATGGTCATGCAACACTATACCCAAATTAAATTTATATAATTTTTTTTTCACACATCTAGAGCTTTCTTTTGGTGGTTATTGATCACCACTGGGTTTTTTTTAATTTACTTTATTATGTAAATGAAATAAAACATTACAAAAAAAAAATATTTTTACATTTTCTGCTATAAAACATATCCAATAAAAAAAAAAAACATAAATTTAGGCCAAAATGTTTTTTCTTTTTATGTCTTTTTGGTTAAAGAAAAAAATTTTTTATGTGAAAAACAATGGAGGGGCTAAGTGCAGCGAATGGGGATGATCCTGCTAACACTGCAATTTTGGGGAAATTATACTATTTTTTGTTTTTTTTTGTGTGGTATGTGTATGTATGTGTTATTTTTACTATATATATATATATATATATATATATTATATATTGATTCATACAAACGCTATACTAGTAATGTCGGTGATCAGCGACCTATTGCAGGAGTGTGATAGTGTGTGGACAATCTAATGCTAGCTGACCCTGGTTGGGATGGGTGCTAACTGACCCTGATGCTATTTGATGTCGCTAGTGGCAGTAATACAGTGATCAGTGAAAAATTCTATATACTGATGCTGTACTTATGGCACTGGCTGGGTGACAAGGGTGATCAAAGGGTTACTAGGGGCGATCAAAGGGTTAAATGTGCTAATCTAATGTGTATGTGTAAAATGTAGTGGTTTTGCTCAGTGTGTGGAGTTCTCTCTTCTTTCCCTGAACCAACAAGGGGGAAGCAGGGGGTGAACGCTCTCACACCTAGAAAGGGTGCCCAGGACATCACCTTTTAAAAAAAAAAAAAAAAAAAAAAAAGGAAAAAAAAAAAGCCTTTAACCTTTTAAAACATGAATAAAAATCTTTTTTATTTAATTTTTTTTTTACTACTCTGTGGGGGTGATCAGGGTTTTTTTTTATACTTTGCATTGCAGGAGCAATAAAGATTATTGCTCCTGTAATGCAATACCTGCTTTGAACTGTCATGGATGGGTTAGGTTCATGACAGTTCAAAATACTGCTGATCTGTGATTGGCTACAGCTAATCATATGGTACAAGGTGCTGTGATTGGCCCATGTACTTTGTGAGAGCTGTGGGCAAATCACAGCTCACCAGGAAGAGAAGCACAGCGCCCCCTTTGCTAGTACAGCCTGAGTGATGTACCAGTACGTCGCTCTGCCTGTAGCTGCTGCCCATCCACTGTGGGCAGTTGGCAAGTGAATATACTGGAATATTTATTTATTTTTATACTAGTAAAGGCAGAGATCTGCGACTTATAGTGGGGCTGTGATAGTGTGGTGGGTAATCTGACACTTTGTAGGAACTAACTGCCACTGACCTCACCAGTGATATTAATACAGTGATCAGTGATAATACAATACACTGTCACTGTACTAATGACACTGGCTGGGAAGAGGTTAACATAGTGGCAATCAAAAGGTTAACTGTGTGCCTAACAATATGTACTGTGTGTAGTATGTGCTGCTTATATTAAGCGATGTGCCTGTTTTTACCCCCTTGCAGGGAGAAGAAAAAGAACACACATCGCTGCTGTCTGTACAGAGCTCTTTGTTTGTCAACACAGAGCTCTGTACTGTCATTCACTCAGCCTGTCAGCAGGTCCTGGCCATAAAGCATTGGCCGGGACCCACTAATTGGTTTGTTATATACGTGATCCAGTGTACAGCAGCCGCCCTGTAGCAGGATCACTTTTATAAGCAGATGGCAATGTTCTGCCATCTGCTTTCAGCAACTTTTTAATCAATGTACCATATTTCCATTGCTAAAAAGTTTTACCCATTCAATTTCCTATAGAAAGGAAAGTCTCTTATCCAAGACTCTTATATCTTTGCAATAAAGCCTTCAATCTCCAAACCTGGTGCGGCCATCTTTGGTAGGATTGAGATGTACTGTATATGATGAATCCCTTGTGATTGTGAGCATATAGATAAGTAAAATACCAATGTTCTATACAAATTACTACACTATCCTAAGCTCCTTCTTTATGAGGCACTTGGCGACTGTAGGTGGACATTTGTGAGGAGAAAGAAGGATTGGTGCTGCATAGGAGCTATTGAGGTCATTGAGCTCTGGTGAGAATCCAATACATGTGAGTGACACCTGGTGGTGGGAAGAGGATTGAGCACAGTGTATGGTTTGCAGTACTGGATTATTTCACATGCGAGTACAGTTGTAAAGGATTTGCGGATTGGAGTATAAGCTTTATTGCATGATGATGTTTTTTGTTTTACACACCTATGAGATAATACTGAATGGGAAGAAATACAGTGAGTGGAAGAGAGAAGAGCAAGCAACACCTGGGGGTTATGCACACATGCTTGAATTGACCCAGTTTTGCAGAGGGGTCTAAACATCTGGGGAGCATTTAAATGACTGGTGTGGAAGTCGCACAAAGAAGAGTTTTGGATAAGAGACTTTCTTTTCTATGGGCAATTGAATGGGTAGAACTTTCGCATCCCACAGCACTGATTTGCACAGTGTTATATTGCTTTCAGCAACTGACTACATACAAACAAAAATAATCGTTTTACTTCCAGTGGGAGGTTGGTGCAGTGGAGATGCCATTTCTAGCGTTGAACGCTATGATCCTCAGACCAATGAATGGAGAATGGTGGCTTCCATGAGTAAACGGCGATGTGGTGTCGGTGTCAGTGTTCTGGATGACCTTCTTTATGCAGTAGGTGGTCATGATGGATCTTCATACCTCAACAGTGTTGAAAGGTGAGAGATAAGGGCTTATGCTGTACCTTTTTGTTTAATTTTCTTGTGAATGACTCTCGTATTTTTCTTTGTAAGTAAATTATTGTTGATTGGTTTAGCATTAATGTCCTCCACAGCATTTTAGAAAGTGCTGAGGCTTTATTTGCTTTTGTGTTTTGCTTGCTTTAATTTTTTCATTGGTGAACTAAATAACATGAGGAGATTTGCTCATGCGGTTGCTTCTATACTTCTACTTTAATTAGATTTCCAGTGACAACTTGTTCATCTTTTACAGATATGACCCAAAGACAAACCAGTGGAGCAGTGATGTGGCTCCTACCAGCACTTGCAGGACGAGCGTTGGTGTTGCGGTTCTAGGGGGGTATCTTTATGCTGTGGGTGGCCAAGATGGTGTCTCTTGCCTCAACATTGTTGAAAGGTATTTTTACTGGGTATTTGGACTCTTCAGCTTATAGTGTAATATTTGTATAATATGCATTCTTGATATAATTTAGGAATATCCATGTTCTTCGAAGAAGGTGATTTTTCCCGTTTTTAGTTTTTTACTTCCATATTTTACATTTTTAGTGGAGATTTTATCTTATAGCAATGTAGTTTAGTAGTAATTTGCAATTCAGAACTTGAGCCTTATGCAAACTGGACTTATGCAACTGCTGCTTGGGGCGTCAGATGTTTTTTTTTTTTTTGTATTTTTTTTTTTTTTTTGTATTTTTTTTTTTTCTTGTTTCTGTTTTTTTACTGCCTTTAAACTCCCCTGCATTTCCATGAACACATTGGCTTTTAGTAGCATTTAGTAGCAGGAGAGTTTAGGCAGATAAAAAAAAAAAACACTAAGATTATGTCCAGAAGCAGCAGAGTTTGAGCAGAAAAAACAATTGGTGCTTGTAAACGCATATTAAGACTAGGCTCGTTTAGTGCTTCAGCATTAATCCATTTCAATGGCCTGAGTAAATTATTATGGCAAATAAAATGAATTCACTCCCAAGCGCTTTATGCCTGGAAAAGCATTGGACGCTTTTATAGTCGTCAGGGATTTTTTTCTGCAAAAACGCTCCTGGCTTCTAAAAAAAAAAAAAGTACTCTGTGCATGAGGCCTTAAAGTGAACCCCACATGGTCAACGATGTATGTAAACAAACAATACTTACAAAGTGCTAGAACCTTGTGTATGCATTTCTAAAGAAAATCGTACATCAGGAAGTATGTACAGTAGATTGCAGTTGCTGACCTCTCCTTATGAAAATACTGATTACTTGGCTACAATGGTGATCCAATTGTTCCAGCACTCTCTAATTACTGGGACTAGTATGCAGATTAGGAATTTTGACCTAACTCTGACTGTTCATGTGTCACTTTGCAGCCACTATATTTCTTTTTGTACTATGTTTCTTTATTTTTCAAGTCCATTTCTGTGGGGCTGGGAGTGTACCTGAATATCACACCCAGTCTAAATGACAGGGCCTGAACTACTGTCATCCAGAGCCACAACCACAGTCATTGGAGGAGGCTCTGGCAATAGGCAGGTAAATTGGACAAAAGTTAAAAAAAAAAAAAAAAAAAAAAAAAAAAAAAAGCACAGAAAATGACAGGCAAGTCAAAGCAGATACTAGGTAAATTGCTTCATCGTTCTTAGCTGGTGTTGGCACTTCAGCTTAGAGGTGGTACTGCAGAAGGTAATAATTAGACTGATTGTTACTTGGGTATATGCCATCCTTAGCTGAGAAATCAAATACTAACTCTGTTCAGACCATGGCACAGAAAACAGAGGAATAAAACACAAACTCCCTTGAGTCTTCACCCCACTGCAAAGAATCACATAAAAATGAAAAGCAAAAGAATTCAGACACCAACTGCATCACAACCACTTTCTGCAATGCTAGATCAGTAAAGAATAAGACAACTGTCATAGCACATGCCATTGAATCCTGTGATCTGTCATGCTTCACAGAAAAAAACATGGCTAGATGAAAATACAGGACCATACAAGAAGCAGCAGTATGCAGCAACTACTCCAAGCAAGGTGGGGGTTTTGCAATCTGCTTTAAACTCAAACTAAATCTTAGAACACTCTTCATTGGCCAAACACACTCTTTTGATTATGTAGGTGCATGGTTATGTGGGGAAATAAGCTTTAAATTGTAATGGAAAAGCCATGAAATAACTGGCATTATGACTGTGCTGACCATAGATATCCCAGATTGCTCACATTTCAGACTTCAGTACCTGCCTTGATAAGACACAGTCTCAATTTCTGCAAAAACTCCTTATAACTATTGACAGCACTGGGCTTCACTCAAGAAGTATCATCTGACATGTCACTTAACTTTGTTAACCATTTAGCATCTTGTGCATTTCTCTACTGCTTTTCCAGCAACTAGAAATAGGAAAGAGGAACTTGTAAAATATCATCCATTAAAACAGCTGCTTTACAAAGGTGAACAGACTACCCATCACACAAAGATGCAACCGCAAGTAACAGACCTGCTCAACTCTGTTGCACTGTGAAAGAATTGTGCAACTTTGGTTACCCAAAGCCGAGTCTGAAACTCTCATAGGAACGGTGTGAAAAGTTTGTTCATCACTTTGCCAACAAAGTCTCTTCAATTAGAGATGGAATTAAAATGACACTAAACTATATCCTTGTTTCTTACTGTGTTTTTCTGCCTCCTGGTAATGTCCTAATGTCGTGAGCTGCTGAACTTCTCGTTTTCCCTCTTTCATTTGCTTGGAACGAGCAGTTCATGTTAGTTGCAATTCTGTGCACTGCTGTTTGCACACTACAAACCCCTTAGTCCATTTCAGGAGTGAGCAAGAGAGGGTGGCTTTGTTCATACATGCAGTAGGACCATGGAGAATTAACATTTAACAGGAAGTCAGATGACAGCCGCAAAAAAAAAAGAAGGAAACTGGGGGATACGGGGAGCAATAGAAGGTACTTTTCTGAGTTAAGAATGCATACTTGAATAGAATTCTTTTTTTTTTTTTAAACCAGAGTTTAGTGTCATTTTAAGTTTGAAACATGTTCAGACCACCCAGGGTCCAGTAATAAGACTTCATATCAACAAGCCTTTAGACAACATTTTGATATTATTGATGTAGAAGAAATCATCCGAGTGCTCAGTCCAACTAAATGTGACCGTGACCTAGGTCACACAGGCTAGTCTAACACTAGTAGCATCCAGTGCAACATTTTCCAGCTGTCAAAAAAATTGCACAGTGCCGTCTCTTTACAGAGGTGATCCCACATCAACTTAGCCAAGCCATTTTCAGGCTGTTGCTATTAAAACCTCCCATTTACAAGAAAGGTGATTGCAAAGCTAAGGCTAGCTGTCAAATAACAAATCTTTGACAAATTTCAATCTAGATTTTAAAAAGAAAACTCATTACAAAAACAAAAAAAACTGATCCAACTGTCGAATGGACCTATTGATGGCTAGAGAGAGACAAAGTATACTTCATCTTTATTTGCCTTCATGTTTGTCCGCATTTGACTCTATGGAACATTACATATTACTGGACCGTTTAAAGCCGCTCTGTAGTTTTCAGGGTAAAGTGCTCATCTGGCTCAAATCCTTCTTGTCTGGAAGGTTACAAAGCATCACCGCAGAAATACACTCATCCTCTTCACTTCCAACAACTCTACCTGTCTTTCAAACCAGACATTCGTGATCTTGTGACCAAGATCAACAGCTGCCTTACTCACATACAACAGTCCATGAACTGTAACTGACTGATACTGAAGCCAGACTATAACGGAGTGCTTATAACTGGAGGGCTGAGGCTAGCATCAAACTGGTGGCACACACATCGAACTGGTTTGAATTTTGTGCATATCAAACTTATGTCCTCAGACCGTGTGCACAGCCTGGGTATAATCCTGACACTGATCTATCAATTAAGCAACGAGTTTCAGCTGCCATCAGATTCTCTTTCCACTATCTCAAGAATCAAACAAACATTTGATTCCCACAGAATAGTATACCAATATTAATACATGCTTTTGTATCCTTTAGGGTTTGTATCCCCTATTTGCGTTTGGCCCCTAAGCGTTTGGCAAGCGTTGGTCCGGCGTTTGCAGAGCGTTATTAACGCTCCGCAAACGCCGCATGCGCGGTTTAGCGGCGGTTGCTAGGCGTTTGCCGAGCGTTAATAACGCCCCACAAACGCCTATAATGCAGTTTGAGTGGTGTTACCGCTCCGCAAACGCCCCGCAACCGCGTCACAACCGCACCGCAAACGCCGGCCAGGCGTTTGCGGAGCGGCACCATAGACAAGAATAGGAGGCTTCAAAGCCTCCTGACTCGTCCAGAGGCGTCCGTTTTGACGCGACGCAAACACTCCCGTTAGAACAGCACCATGTGCTGTAATGTGCAGAATTGGCAGAGGCGTTTGGGAAGCGGTAAAAACACTTTCCAAACGCCTCTCTGCCGCCTGCACACAAGGCTAGTGTGAACGTAGCCTTAGACTGGATTAATGCAACTCCCTCTACTGTGATCTGCCTGAGAGAAAGAAAAAAAAAAAAACATAGCTGTCATTTCCACATCACCTTCTTTGCTCTTTACTCTGACTACCAGTTAAATGCAGTTTTTTCGTGGGAATTGACCTACTCCCCTATAAAGCCCTAGGTAACTTGGATCATGCCTATCTGACAGAACCTCTGGTTAACCATATTCCAAAATGCTCCCTCTCCTGCTTGAAAATGACATGTTCTCAAACTCATTTCAAAGGTCTTTATATTTTGTTCATTCTGTCGCGCAGCACCCACAATATGGAATTCACTGCCATCCACTGTCTTGGAAGCACCCTCTCAGGATGTTTTTAAAAACAGGCTCGTGACACATATATTTATCTAGGCTTGTAGAAACGCCTGACAAATTCTTCTGTTCAAAGATCCCCACACCAATATGATAAGCACTTTGAGTCCCCCAGAGAGAAAAGAAATATAGAAATATTACTATTATTACTTTCGTACCAAAAGTAGAACCTTCTACATTTTCATATTCAATGTCTAACATGAGATGGTTTAAGAATGGACACGTTTCATTATTCTTTTGTGCTAGGTACGACCCAAAGGAAAACAAATGGACACGTGTAGCCTCTATGAGTACAAGGAGACTAGGTGTGGCTGTTGCAGTTCTAGGTGGTTTTCTTTATGCTGTTGGGGGATCAGATGGTACGTCTCCTCTTAATACAGGTTAGTAAATCTGAAATTCTATATCAACTTCCCTTTTGAATCTGTTGTGAGGTTATCACTCCATACCTATTTAATACTTCTCTCCATGCAAAGTGTATTGTTTCCTGTATTGACATAGTAATTTGGCCTCACTACTTACCCGAAGGCTGCCAGTTCTGGAACTGAGATGTCCTGGCTGGTTACAAGCTAGGCTAGTTGCATACGTAATATCATACAGTACCTGCGCTCTGACCTCCAATCAACCAGTCCCCTAAAAAGCTGCTAGATAAAATTTTATCCTTCAGGATAAATATTCATTAAGTGAGCCAGCACTATAAAGTAACCAAACATGTGCTATATTAGACAATACATGTGTATTTCATGCCCCAAAACAAACTAAAAAATAACCAATACATAAAGAATACACACTTAAATAATCACAATAGTGCATATAATATATACATTTTTCAGTGAAGAACGCATGGTCAACATCCCCATACACCAACACGCATATTATATTATCAATATTTGGACTCTGAACTCTCCTTTTGGCTCCACATCATATCACTATCTAAATCTTGCCACCTCAACCTCCGCATCATCTACAAAATATGTCCTTTCTTAATCAATGACACCACAAAGCTTCTAATTCACTCCCTGATTATCGCTCGCCTCGACTACTGCAACTCCCTCCTCATTGGATTGCCTTTACATAGGCTATCTCCCTTTAGTCCATCATGAATGCTGCTGACAGACTCATCCACTTTACCAACCGTTCAGTGTCTTCTACTCCCCCTTGCCAATCCCTCCATTGGCTTCCTCTCATGCAAAGAATTACAACAAGAAATACAACAACTTAAAAACCATCCATAACTTTTCCCCCTTGGACTACATCACTAACCAAGTCTCAAAATACCAACCAAATTGTTCTCTTCGTTTCTCCCAGGACCCCCTGCTCTTTAGCTCAATTGTCACCTCCTACCATGATTGCCTCCAAGACCTCATCCGAGCCTCTTCCATCTCCTAAAACTTTGTATCTCTATCTGTCCCACTATCTCCTACTCTGTTTACTTTTAGGCGATGCCTGAAAAGCCTTCATTTTAGAGAAGCTTCGTTTACGGCAGGTCAGAGAAAGTCCTTCATTTAGCGTGTCCACTACATGCCAGGTATTTCTTCATCCCTCAGTCCTTCACCTCCGTGCACCACATTGCCAAAAGTATTGGGACTTCTGCCTTTACGCGCACTTGAACTTTAATGGCATCCCAGTCTTAGTGCGTAGGTTCAAGATTAAGTTGACCCACATTTGCATCTATAACAGCTTCAACTCCTTTGGGAAGGCTGTGCACAAGGTTTCTGATGTTTGACCATTCTTCCAGAAGTGCATTTTTGAGGTCAGGCACTGGTGTTGGATGAGCAGACCTGGCTCGCAGTCTCCGCTCTAATTCATCCCAAAGGTATTCTATTGGGTTGAAGTCAGGACTGTGTGCAGGCCAGTCAAGATCCTTCACCCCAAACTCGCTCAACCATGTCTTTATGGACCTTGCTTCGTGCACTGGTGTGCAGGTATGTTGGAACAGGAAGGGGCCATCCCCAAACTGTTCCCACAAAGTTGGGAGCATGAAATTGTCTAAAATGTCCTGGTATGCTGATGCCTTAAGAGTTCCCTTCACTGGAACTAAGGGGCCAAGCCCAACCCCTGCAAAACAACCCCACACCATAATCCTTCCTCAACCTAATTTTACACTTGGCACAATGCAGTCAGGCAAGTACCGTTCTCCTGGCAACTGCCAAACCCAGACACGTCCATCGGATTGCTAGACAGAGAAGCGTGATTCATCATTCCAGAGGACATGTCTCCACTGCTCTAAAGTCCAGTGGCGGCGTGCTTTACACCACTGCATCTGACGCTTTGCATTGCACTTGGTGCTGTAAGGCTTGGATGCAGCTGCTCGGCCATGGAAACTCATTCCATGAAGCTCTCTACGTACTGTTGTGCTATTCTGAAGGCCACACAAAGTTTGGAGGTCTTTAGCTATTGCAGACAGTTGGCGACTTCTGTGCATTGTGTGTGTCACCATGCACTGACACTCCACTGTGTCATTTTACGTGGCCTACCACTTTGTGACCAAGTTGCTGCTGTTCCCAGTTGTTTCCACTTATAATATCACTAACAGTTGACCGTGGAATATTTAGTAGGAAATTTCATGGATGGGCTTATTGCACAGGTGGCAACCTATCACAGTACCATGCTTGAATTCACTGAGCTCCTGAGAGCGACCCATTCTTTCACAAATGTTTGTAGAAGCAGTCTGCATGGCTACTTGCTTGATTTTATACACCTGTGGCCATGGAGGTGATTGGAACACCTGAATCCTATGATTTGGAGGGGTGGCCCAATATTTTTGGCAATATAGTGTACAAATACAGAGCACTCACCAAATTTGTATGACCTATTATCTCTGGATGGTCATATAGCACCTGATCTACATAGGGTTAAAGCACCTCTATCACCCCTCTGATGTAATCTTTCCCTCCAGTTGAGTCCTTATTTATCCAACCCTTCGGTCAGCAGAAAGAATACAAGCAAACAATCACCATAGCAGAGTACATAAAAAATCTTTTAAATATTAAAATTGCACTCGCATTTAGGCAGCAAATAACGTGATCCAGTACAGTAAGCCCTGGCATTTCTGGGTTCCCCAAAACAAATGTCATGTATGCCATCACGGACATGACATCAGAAACGTTTATCTAGCTGAGAAATGTAATATAACCTCCTTGCCCCGATCCCCACTGTGCCGTATATTCAAGCTGATAAATTATTTTGTTCTGCAAATCAGGTGAAGAAAGATGTGACTGATCTATCATGTCATTGCTTTGTATGTTTCAGTGGAGCGCTACAATCCTCAGGAAAACCGCTGGCACACAATAGCACCAATGGGCACTCGCCGAAAGCACCTGGGATGTGCTGTGTACCAGGATATGATCTATGCAGTAGGTGGAAGAGATGACACCACAGAGCTAAGCAGTGCTGAACGGTACAATCCCAGGACCAATCAGTGGTCACCAGTGGTTGCCATGACTTCCCGACGAAGTGGGGTAAGACAGTACTTAAACTATGTATTAGTATAGTAAGATGGAAAGTTGCAAACAAAATATAACTGTATTTTATCTTACTCATACAGTACAGGGCTCAGGTCATAGATCATGGGTTCTTTGCTGCTGCAATGATTGAACACTGGCAAAAGCTGTGCTGGAAACACACCTAAGTGCACTCTCCCAGAACCCCACCCACTCTGTGGGACTCTAGTTTTTCGCTATCGTTCTTAGATGACGGACCACTTCTTTGGAGAAGTTCTACTCTGTTTCTTTATTTTTCTTCACTATTTTGACTGACACTTCTGTCAATATCCAACTGCTTATTGTCTAAGGACTCACTAGCAGTTTCCGGATTGGTTGGCCTTGATTCGCTTCTTGGGAACTGTGCATGAACCCCGCAACAGTGGGGCCAGCTTGCAATGTTTGTTTCAGATTTGGTGCTCAAATGTGTAGTTAGCTGCAGAGGGCTATACAGGTCCAGGGCCTTGATCATTCTTATGGCATCCAGACCTTGACTGCCTTTTCAGGGGTTTCTTCTTCATGATGGGTAAAGTTTGGTCCTCTCTGGGAACCTTCCATGTGTATAAGATGAGAAAAGGTTTCCCTGGAATTGTGACTGCGTCCTATTTTTGCATGTCCAGTATTATTTCACTTAGTGTGTTTTTTGCCCCCTGAAAATGTCCCTAATACATTGATGGTAGGTGACATTTACCTTTTTTAATTTGGCAGGTTTCCCTACTCAAAAATGTTCTTTAGGTGGAGATGTAGTTGCAAATTCATTCCATCTGAGATTTCTGCTGAGCATACAAGAAACACTTTTGCTCCTGGATATCTGCCTCTCCATAGAAACAGACGTATATACCAAATACCCTCTCATTCTACAGCCATTTCATGAGTACCTCACTGAACATCCCCTCACTCAGCAGTGGTGGAAACAAAGTACAGAAGAGGTCAGAAACAAGGGTCTAATGGCACTTGTTGGCATCAAAGAATACCAGAAAAAATGTTCAGGATGATAGATATTCCCTTGCATGGACATGACTTCCTTCCCCTAATTTCATCTGTCTGATTTCTTTGGGAAACGCTCTGCAGGGCCCAAAAGTGTGTTTCAGCCTCTTCACAACCTAATTCAATTCAGAAGTATAGTCCTGATCCTCCTAACCTCTTTGAGGAAAATACTGAGGAAGGCAAGGTGGATGCAGGAAAAATATTTGTTAGAGGAACCTTCTGCGTTTTCTTAGACACAAGCTAAGCTTCACACAATGTTTTCTACAGTGAGCTCACTTATTGATATGGTACAAACTAGCCTTTGTCTAACAGCATCGGAATCTCCTCAGTCCAAACAAGCTCCTACGGGCGCTAAACTGATGGCAAAATCTAAAAGACTTTTCCTCTGCACACGTAATTTAACTGTGCCTTACATGAAGAGTGCCCGTATTTGGAAAATGTATTCCTTCCTCCAAAATCTCTGCTGAGTTATATCCTATAAAAAAGTAATTTTATGAAAATAGGTCAGTCCCAAGTGTGGATCCTGCCATTTCTGTTCTGCAAGCATCGCAGTGTTTCTGTTGAAGGTGCTTCATCCTTTAAAGGCTTTGTAAGCCTTCCTTGTGTTTTTCAATTGTATAAGATATGCATTGCTCATGTAGTTTCTTGGTGTAATTTATTGGTCTGTATGGACAGTCTAGAGTAGTAAATCATCACATTCCTGTCCTCTGTTTTGATATGAAGTATGCGACATAGCACTTCACAGGTTAATGGACACACAGAGCGCAGCTCAGGATCGAGCGCACATGAGTGAATGTTTACTGCTGTTTGCTATATTGTTGCCCACCTCAGTTTATTGCTTGGGGATGTCCAATGGTCTATGACTGTAAGTCTTGTGTCCTGTACTGTATGATTTTAAGATAATGGGGATTTTGACTTGCCTGCAATTTCCATATCTTGCAGCACAGTACAGGAAACAGGTCCCTCCCTTTCTCCTTATTGCTTGCTGCAAACTAGAATCTCACAGGGTGGATGGGTTTATGAGAGTGCATTTGGGGAGCTTGCCAAATCACTTATAGTACCTTGAAAAAATTTTAATACCCCTTTGAAATTTTCTAAATTTTGTCATGTTACAACCAAAAATGTAAATGTATTTGATTAAACCAGCACAAAGTGGCACTTAATTGTGAAGTGGAAGGAAAATGATAAATGGTTTTCAAAATTGTTTACAAAATATCTGAAAACTGTGGCATGCATTTGTATTCAGCCCCCTTAGTCAATACTTTGTAGAACCACTTTTCCCTACAGCTGGAAAGTCTTTTTGGGTATGTTTCTACCAGCTTTGCACATCTAGAGACATTTTTGCCCATTCTTTGCAAAATAGCTCAAGCTCTGTCAGATTGGATGGAGAGCATCTGTCAACAGTATTTTTCAAGTCTTGCCACAGATTCTCAATTGGATTTAGGTCTGGACTTTGGGCCATTCTAAGACATGAATATGCTTTGCTCTAAAGCATTCTGTTGTAGCTCTGGCTGTATATTTAGGGTTGTTTTCCTGCTGGAAGGTGAACCTTCCAAGTCTTTTGCAGATTCTATCAGGTTTTCCTCTAAGATTGCCCTGTTTTATGCTCCATCCATCTTCCCATCAACTCTGACCAGCTTCCCGGTCCCTGCTGAAGAAAAGCATCCCCACAACATGATGCTCCCACCACCATGTTTCACGCAGGGGATGGTGTGTTCAGGGTGATGTGCAGTGCTAGTTTTCTGCCACACATAGCATTTTGCGTGTAGGCCAAAAAGTTCAATTTGTGGTCTCATCTGACCAGAGCACCTTCTTCCACGTTTTCTGTGTCCCCCACATGGCTTCTTGCAAACTGCAAACGGGACTTCTTAGGCTTTCTTTCAGCAATGGCTTTCTTCTTGCTACTCTTCCATAAAGGTTTGTGGAGTGCATAACTAATCGTTGTCCTGTGGAGAGATTCTTCCACCTGAGCTGTGGATCTCTGCAGCTCCTCCAGAGTTACCATGGGCCTCTTGGCTGCTTCTCTGATTGCTTTCCTTGCCTGGCCTGCCAGTTTAGCTGGACAGCCATGTCTTGATAGATTTGCAGTTGTGCCATACTCTTTCCATTTTCAGAAGATGGATTTAACAGTGCTCCGTGAGATGTTCAAAGCTTGGGATATTTTTTTATAATCTTACCCTGCTTTAAACTTCTCCACAACTTTATCCCTGACCTGTCTGGTGTGTTCCTTGGCCTTCATGTTGCTGTTTGTTCACTCATTTTTTGCTAACAAACCTCTTTGGGCTTCACAGAACAGCTGTATTTATACTGAGATTACATTACACACAGGTGGACTTTATTTACTAATTAGGTGACTTCTGAAGGCAATTGGTTCCACTAGATTTTAGTTAGGGGTATCGCAGTAAAGGGGGCTGAATACAAATGCATGCCACACTTTTCAGATATTTGTTTGTAAAAAAAAATTGAAAACCATTTTTCATTTTCCTTCCACTTCACAATTTTGTGCCACTTTGTGTTGGTCTATCACATAAAATCCCAATAAAATACATTTACGTTTTTGGTTTTAACATGACTAAAATTTTGAGGGGAATGAATGCTTTTTCAAGGCACTGTAAAGGTAGCTGCATAACCCATGATCTATGACTATGGTACAAGTTTTGTAGTACTGTAGTCAAATATATGGAATTTACATACAAGTTAAATTCCCATTTTTTTTTTTTCTGTTGTGGTTTGTGTTGTGTAGCTGCATCCATACTATGTTCTTATGGCTGTTTCATTTAGTGCCACTGGACATATATATATTATAGACTGCTCTGTCAAATAGATCACTATGATGGAGAGGAAGGTATCAGGATTTGGACACCTTTCAAAATATTGAACTTGTTGCCTGTATACTTTTAGGTGTACATTTATTAAACTGCCTTTACAGATCGTGGCTTTTCACCGTGTATGCCTATTTATTAACATTTGCACTTCTTTCTCTGACTCAGTAGAGAAGTGATTGAGATAGACGGTGAATGGCCGTGATGTGTAGTAGAAGTGAAATATGAGCCCATGATCCCTTATATCAAGACACCTGCGCGAAACTCTGTACACTGAAGAGTGTACTTTATAGCCAAAAATACTCAGTTAAAAGTGTCACAGAAATGTCCTGATCTAAATAAAAAATTATTTATAAATGGTTAGGCACACACACACATGGCAATAACTGGGAAAGAAGGGGAAATGTGTGAGGAGGAACCAGGGAGATGTCCCCTGCTTTCTCGGTCACAGCTTGGCATAACCTGTTCTAACTTTTACAGAAGCTGCTGAGTGGTGACAGAGGGAGCAGAGGACATAATCCCCCTGATTCCTTCTCTCATCTCAATTGTTCACATTTTCCGCTTCTCTCCTTATCGCCACCTATGTGATGGAGAAGCAGGGAGCGAGCAAATGGCCAGTAAGGTGTTTACATCGCGCCTTTACAAACTGGCTGTGTGTATAAAACTCACTGGCAGCTTCTCACTGAGCTGCAATGAGAAGTAGAGAACAACATCTTTACTCCTCATAACCGCTTATTAAACCACTGCACAGAGGTAAGCTGTGCTAGTCACTGTCACAGCTTATCACAGTTTCATAAAAGTACACCATAGACGGAACACCATATTGCTTACAGATTATCAAAATCAAATGTATTTGTTTTGAGGTAACATGCTCCTATTGTAAGAAGTCAGTCCATTTTATGGCCACCAGTTCTATAAATTTCGTAAGTTAAAAATGATTAATATAGTTATAAGCTAGCTATTTAATAGAGAACAATTGTAGTGGTTTGCTTATTAAAGAATACTTTCATATGGTATGTAGTATTGTTCATGCTTATTTCACTTTTATCAATGTCATAGGTTGGTCTTGCTGTGGTCAATGGACAGTTGATGGCTGTAGGCGGATTTGATGGAACAACGTACTTGAAAACTATAGAAGTGTTTGACCCAGATGCTAATACTTGGAGGTGAGAATGTTCATGTCTACTTTATACAGTTTGTCTCTGCAATGCCTCTTACTAACCTTGTACAAATGCTTTGAAGTTTAAAAAAAAAAAACAGTTCAAGTGAACAGTCTTTTGATCCTTATGTTACTTGGAATTCTACTTGGTTAACCAAAAATGACCTTTCTGTCACACTGTCTTTGCAGTGTTGGAAGACTCCATGACTATTATCTGAAAATGCAATAACTTTTTAAAAACATTATCCGATTTCCTTGATTGATGCTGAACAGGTACCTGGCCATAGAGATGAATTGACTTAACATCCCCATCTCTGTGACTGGGTGCCCACGTGTGCACGTAGTGTACAGGTCACCATTTTTACAGCGTTAAATATCTTTAGTTGATGGCCATAATTTATTACACACTGTAAAGCACAGGTTAATTGAAACGTCACCAAGCTAAATCCCTTGTAAGAAGGTTCACCAGAGGGTGCATGAAATTCTAGCTAGTACTGTATATTCTTTTTCATATTGGGGGGGAGGAGAATGTAATGAGCCCACTTATAGAATTGTGTGTTGTATAGCCTCTCATCAAATATACAGTAAAATCCCAATGAAATTTTATTAGTGTGGCAAATACATATTGATCTATGAAAAGTAATTATACTGCCTGATAATGAAAAACAATGCAAACAGCTTGTTTTGCGTTTCCCTTCCAGGTAACTTTCCATTCACACACGTGTTTTTGTGCTCATTGTCCTAAGCTTGACTACGCAGAATGACCTTCTTTACAGTTGTGTCTGTTCACACTTCTACGCTCAGTTGCCCTATGCTCAAAAAAGTGTTTTTTGGGGGGGGTGGGGGTTTTTATAGTGTTTTCTGGCATTTTTGATCCCACAGACTTCAATAGGAATACCTGTGAAATGTGTGATAAAACACATTTTTTTGCGCGATTTTACACCTGAAGAATTCTTCTCCTAAATAACTGCTTTGCTCCCTTTAACCAGCCCATGAAATAGACTCCTGAAGCTAGATACATGTGCAAAAACACCTGTAATATGCCTAAAAAAAAAAAAAAAGCTTCAAAATCACCAGGAATACACTTCGCTTAGGTGTGAATGCAGGCTAAAGCAGGATCATTTTTATCACCGAATGTATTGCTAGCCGAGGTACTGGGCATGCAGGTAGTAAGACTCTATTGCAAATTAGTAGTTATGAAACTAGCTTTGTGCATAGCAACGTTGTACCTTTTTGCTTACATTAAAAGCCTTCCAGTTGATGCAGTGATGCTTATAGAGAGCAGAATTTTATTTATTTTCTGATACTAATAGGGCATCTGTGTAGTTAGCAGCATTTTGCTTTCTGTAAGGTGAGAATTTTTTCCCAGGCAGTATCATCTAGGGGTAGAATATTATTAGTTATGACTAAAGCCGTGGAGGCTGAAACACATCAACTTACTGTATCTGTGATTTATGCACTGTGGTTTCTACAATAAATGAAGATTTTAAGATCAGTGGCGGTAGTGCAAGTCATTTTCCATATTGAGAATTCTCTGCAGCTGTGCAATTATGGATCTGGCACATGCAACCTCTGGTGATAAGTAATTGAATGGGTAGCAGCACTACCACTTGTTTTATGTCTAAAGCTGGGCACGCACTAGAAGTTTTTTTTTTTTTTTTTTTTTTTTTTATTTCCTTCAAACCAGTGGGCTGAGCATAAAAAAAAAATAGTTTGCTGTACTAACACAAGCGATGTTAGTGCGGCAATTTCCCCCACTGTGCTATTGTTTCCCAGCCATTGGCTGCCGATGCGGGTCAGATGCTGGTTTTCCAGGATGCCTATTCAATAGAAGTCAATCTGAACTGACCAATTTCGGCTGATTTTGGTATGTGTACAGTACATAAGTATGGCACTAATGCTTAATTTGTCTTGTGATATCATAGATGAAATCCGCATACTGTTGGCACAAGAGAATGTAACAATTATTATTACACCATTGCACTAATTTGTGTAATGAACACATACATTGACTTAACTAAAATATGCGATATCTTGTTACTAAAAATGAGTCCTCTTCTCTCCTCTTGCACCCAGATTATATGGCGGCATGAACTACCGACGGTTGGGTGGTGGTGTTGGCGTTATCAAGATGACACACTGTGAATCACACATCTGGTAGCCCATCCAACCTAACGTCTGTTATGTGAAAGCCTCAGTTCATGGACACTGCCAAGGACTTCCTTAGTGAGGAAAAAAATGAACTTTCATGACCAGATACTAAATCAGTGAGCCATGAAGAAAAGTCTATTATTGTCTCCCTAACGAATTCAAGTTTTCCTTTTATTTATATCCTGGAAGGATTGCAAGGTATTGGAGTCTAGGAAGATTCTAATGCCATTTTGTAAGAAAAAAGCTGATTTGATGTAGGTTCAATCCGAATTCCATAGGACCTGAGTGCTCTGAAATTCTGCAGGTTTTAGCAAGTGGACAAAAGTTAATGGTTGCTCTGAATAGTTCCTTAAGCAGTATGTTGTGGAATGTGATTGTGGTGGCACTGACAGTGGAAAAGTTCGGAAAATTCTTATACGCCTGGAGCTGAAGAAGGTGAAAGTGATCAAAGAACATGGATTTATGTAACGAATATCTGGAAAACATCATGTTTTTACATACGTTAAGGTGATTAGGAGGTGGTATGCAGCTTGGGTAAGATTCAAAAAGTCCCTATGAGAGTCATAGCACATGACTGTGCTAACATACCCATGTTTCACACTTACAGCTGTCTAAGTTCACGGCAGTGTGAAAAAAACTTCTCAGCTTTCCCCAAACATAGTAAAATGCTGCAGTACATTATACAGCCACTTGCACTAGTGTCTCATCCAACTTCCTTGTGCCTCTAAAACCTGCACAGACTGCTACCCTTGATAATGGTCTTGTGTTGCCTTTAACAGATGTAGCAAAATTGTATAGTTTGTGTAGAGAAAACGATATAAAGAACAAAAACTTAACTGTAGACTGATCAAAGTCAGTATTAACATACATGGGCCATGTATGTACTGTCATTCAATGAACCAACCTGGATTTTTTTTTTTGTAAAGCAAGTTCTAAGGTGCTAACTTTGAATAATGACTGTCTGTTTGACAGACAAATAGTATCTCTATAAAGTGTGAAACATTCCAATATCACACTTAGAAGTTCTTATGATCACTCCAACTAATAACTAAAGAGGACCTGAACTGTGGCAGCTGAGTCTGAAAAAGTGCAAGTAGAAGACACAAAACAAAAACCCTCTTCACTGGTATAGGTACCTAGAAGCTGATATTTTTCCCATTACTGACTTACTGTACCCTATTCTGCAGTGTGTCTGTGTGTGGAGGCACCCATCTTGGTAGAGGCTGGGCTTTGTATCCTGTGTTAAGATTTCTCCATCCGCTTGACGGATGATCTGATGACTGGTTGGGAAATATTCACCAAGCAGCAGGAGGTTCAGAATTCATAGATCCACCGCATGAATGAAGAATGGTGATCATTGCATTGCAACCTCCTCTTCAGCAATGAGCAGCACAGTAGTGATATCACCAAATCTAATGAGGCTAGCAGTCACAGACACAGTGCCTTAGAAGATATCACACTGCAGATATACATTGGATGCAATAAGTGCTTTGCTGTTTTTCAGGAGGACCCTAAAGGTCGATGTTCCCTATGGAATAGTTTTTTTGAGTTCAGGTCAACTTTAATGAATTTCCAAGGTCTAACAAGCCTTCAAAAATATGCTAGGTATGTGCACTCAACTACGGCAAGTAGGTCTAACACATGCTCCAGCCAACAGATCTGGACAGTCCAACTAAAACTTGGCTTCCTAAAATATATTTCTGGAGTTCTGCAGCTATTCAAAACACAAGTAGGTCACTACAGTCTAAAATATACTCATCCACTGTTAGTAGATGTAAAGATTACTGAAAGCAGGGAAGCAATGGGAGAATTGGAAAGTAATAATAATGGACTTTGTCAGTGTAGTTATAGCTAATTCAGTCATGTGAAAAAGTAAATAAAAAATAAACTGAGTAGTTGGCCATTTTATCACCACTCTCAAAACAAAACCAACCAGAGAGAAGTTTAGTAGCACTAGTTACCACAAAGGGTGACATTTCTTTGAAACGGGATCTAATTCTGTTCACTTTCCACTATTTCACAAAGCAATAATTTTTAAACTAGGTATCTCTCAGGGGTGGCAGTGTCAAACACTCATCACTCCAATGTTTTATAATACATCGGTTTAGTTTAAAACGTTTACTGCTGCATTTCAGAGAATGACCAGTCAAATTAGGAAAAAAAGTAATTTTGCCACCCTTATGCCTGCAAAATCATATTCTATTTTATTGCAGCCTGTCATTGGCACTATCATTGTCCCTTATGATGTATATCTGTGTAAGCAAATTTTCTGAAGCAGTTACCTCACCTGATACATGAATAAGCTACTTGTTGCTTATATGCCTTCACCAATGGCTCAAGCAAGACTTTGTCACATCTTTTGTCTATAAGCCCCTGCTAAAGGTGCATTGGATCTGAAGGAGTCCTTTTCTCCTGCACTCTTTTTTTTTCACAAGCAAGTTTCATCACTATACTCATTTCTGAAAAGAAACATTGAACCTGAGACCCATCACAACCAGCCAGATTTAATTAAATTGGTATTAAACCCAAAACCAAAAATGTAATGCAGCTTAGCAGTCATTAGACGTGGTGGCTGTTTCAGTTTTTTTAAGGCTTTTTCCTCTCTGTTTTCACCTGGTGATATGGCCAGTAATACACCTGTATTAGAGTGCCTCCACTCTGGATGAATGAGCACAGGAGGCACCTTTTGGACAGTAGCAGTGTCATTCTCGGGGGAGGGAAGTGTCAGATGTACTAGCATATTTAGATTCACTAACATATTGAAGCCATACTCCAGCTTACACTTTATAAGCAGTTACAGCATAAATAAAAGCTGATCATTGTAAGCACCCCTGCAGGTGTTAAATGGTTTGTCTTATTTCTGTAACTGATACTGTGCTGGAAAAATTGTTCTTTTGAAGCACGAACTTACTGGCTTGATCACCAGGTGAAAACAGAAGAAAGAAAGCCTAAAACAAGAAAATGAGTGCAGCCATCATATCAAAGAAGTGGTAAGCTGCGATATAATAAATGTTTCCTTTTTGATCTGATACCACTTTAAAATGACAGAATATCGAATTGCTTTGGGTTTTTGCCCCTCTTTTCCATTTTCATAAATGGGACTCACCTTGATTTGAAACTCCTAAACCATATAAAGTGGACGTATAATCAAATATTAACATAAAGGTATATTAACAGTCTTGCCATTATGGATAAATAGAGAATTTCAAGACTGAAATGCCCATTCAAGGCTCCTTCATTGCTGGCCTCATGTCTAAAGGCCTAGTTTTGTCACATCATCCCTGTTGAATGAGAGGATCAACAAGTCTGTACTCTGGTCCTCCATTTCAGCATAGTTCACATGACTAGGTGGCTCACTTCACATGCTAGCAGTATATTCAGCTTGAAACATCATTTTTTCCAGGAAATAGATATTTCAGCCCTTTGTAACTATTTATTCATAATTAGTAGTCTGCTATCATACTGTATCTTTATGTTAACATTTGCTTTTTCGGTATAAGTCCATATTAATGGTATAATTGTACAAAGCCTGGTGTAATGAGAATGACTGGTAGGATTTAGTATTTAAGAATTTTTTGTCAGTACAGCTTTAAAACTGCAATGTGACATCCTTTATCTTTTATAACCACTGCTAATCATATGTGGTGGTAGTTGGGGAACATTTGTGTACACAAAAATATACTATCATATCTTTGGCTGTTATTCAGTTGAAGGAGATGGTTCTCTCATTAGTGACATATTCTTTAAATGTTGCAGCAATACCTATGGATTACTGTGGAAAACTATAGAGCGCTGCCAAGTAAAAACAAGCTTGTCTCAACCTCTGAAACAGTCATCCCCCTCACCAGTTAACTATTACCTCCAATTTTTCCTAACATAGACTTAAGCCGGACATAGACTCTCGATCCATCTATGGGCAGGCTGATTGTACCCAAGTCAATTCATTGATCGATTTGGGTATCACCAGCCTGCCGAATTTTTAGCATGCAATCACTGCCCGCAGCTATAGTCACTAGCAGTAATCTTTGTGTTCTCCTGGCCGGGATAGCTTCCCGTGTCCCGTTGCCAGCAGAACACAGTAGCACTGCGGGAGGCATTCCCCTATCAACACTGACTGTTGAAGGGGGAAATGAACGATTTTCTTGGTGGAAGGAAAGAAAATAGATTCATTTATGGCTTGCCTTACATACATCCTACATAAAGAACATGATTACTTTAAACCATTTGCAATTGTGATGATATGACAACTTTAAAAAGAAAGTGGTAAACATTAAGTTTAAATAATTTGAGAACATACAATTAAATTCATTATTTTCATGCATTTTGACATAAGTTAACAGTCATGCGTTTTGATGCATCTCTGTTGTCAGCCTTCTAATGCACACCAAAGCATCAAAAAAAATGGACAGTGGATGGTTCAGATATGAACTAGCACCATATAAGAATGGCCCCTTCATGCGCATTAAAAAGCATGCTTTAAAACACATCGTTGTGAATAGGCCCTATAGGTATGCTTGAACGGTTTGGTATAAAACTTAACATAAACATTTCGAATGCATCATATTGCAGTTTGATTTACAGTGGGGCAAAAAAGTATTTAGTCCGCCACCAATTGTGCAAGTTCTCCCTCTTAAAAAGATGAGAGAGGCCTGTAATTGGCATCATAGGTAGACCTCAACTAAGACACAAAATGAGAAAAAAAAATCCAAACAATCACATTGGCTGATTTGGAAAGAATTTATTTGCAAATTATGGTGGAAAATAAGTATTTGGTCAATATCAAAAGTTCATCTCAATACTTTGTTATATATCCTTTGTTGGCAATGACAGAGGTCAAACATTTCCTGTAAGTCTTCACATGGTTGGTACACACTGTTGCTGGTATGTTGGCCCATTCCTCCATGCAGATCTCCTCTAGAGCAGTGATGTTTTGGGGCTGTCGCTGGGCAACACAGACTTTCAACTCCCTCCAAAGGTTTTCTCTGGGGTTGAGATCTGGAGACTGGCTAG